ATAAAATATAGGTATGAAGTCTATATAATATTCTTTATTATTATTATTATTATTATATATATACCATAACGTTACTTTAATTAAATTAAATTTATTTAGTTTTCTTATTTATTTATACATTGCTAAATTATATATTTTATTTATTTACAGCATTCAATTTTCCATATTTTTAATGTTTTTCTCTCAACATAATTAGTAAGCAGCGTAATTTTGGTTATTTAAAGTGAATCTTCATATTGTCCTTTTCCTCCTTTAACTTATTTACCTTCACCTAAATACATATATACTTTCATATACATAGTTATTGCCAATTAGGTGTTATGTATGTAGTAAATGCTTTGTTTTTATGATTACTAATCTTGAATCTTTAAGTGCGTTTTTATTTCAAAAAATATGAAAATTAAAAAAAAGACTTTAGGTTCACACGGAAATCATTGGAGTATATAAGCAAAATGGATATATAGTAAAAAAAATTAATAAAAAAAATATTTTATAATTATTATGTGATTTGTAAGGTTTTATTTCTCTCTATTTAATTTTTTTTATGCTCTTTTTAATTTAATTTAATTTATTTTTGTGCTTTATTCTCTTTCATTTTACTTTGTTTTAGTTTAATTTATTCCATTTCATCTTACTAAATTATTATTTATTAGTTTTATTTTATTTTAGCACATTTTATTCTGCTTTAACTTTTTCATTTTAATTCATTAAAAAAAAATAAATTCCCTTAATTCAATTTAGTTTCTTTACTTATATATTTTTTTAATATTATATTTTTTAGCAAACTTCTTTGATTGTTTATTTAGATTATTATATTTTAATTTATTTTGATTTAATTTACAAAATATTTTTTTTATTTTTTTAATAAATTAATTTTTTTTTCAGTTTTTTTTATATTTTGCATCGTTGTATTAAGTTATATGTTCAAGTTTGTTTCATTCTGTTAAATTTTATGATTTTTTTAAATATGTTATACAATTTTGTTTTATTCAAGTATATTTTATTTTATTATTACATGTTTAATTTAAGTCAATATATTTTAATTTTATATATAGCATTTTTTTATGCCTTTACATAATTAGTATATATAAAATTTATTTATATATGTATCATATAAGGTGTAGTAAAAAGTGATCCATTATTTTTCCAATGTATGGCGTTATTTATATGTATCTCGCGTTCCGCTAGATGACGTTAGAAAGATGACATTTCGCACTATTGTGTGATCGGTTGATTCAGTTTTGTTTGAGCGTGCCCCAAAAATGGGCTCCAGCAAAGCGCAAATTCACTTTATTATAAAAATTTTCTTCCCTAAAGACGTAAACGCAATCCAGGCGGCTGAAAATATTGTTACGATTTTGCTAAATCAATCTCGATTATTTTCTAAATCCTTCGGTTACGATCTCTGGATTGTTAAATAAAAAAATCGCCAACTTAATTTGCAGTTTCTTTCGTTATAAAGAATTTATCTAATGTCCTTTATTTACTCAGTAATTCACAATTCAATTACAATGCACTTTACTAGCTTGCATAAACTTTCACCATTTACTTTACTTAAATGTAATCTCCAACGCGTTTACTTTACGGCTTTATACTGATATTGTCGCCAACGAGTTCACTTCGTAACTAACTTAACTTGGCAGCTGGGTGTCGCCCTTATATAGCAGTCGGCTGCCCGTAGACGAATGTGTAGAATAATCGAGTTGTTCGCTATCGAAGGTTCTCGTTTTATCGTTCTAGGATGTACTAGTTATCGGCTTCTCTCTTTCATCTGACATTCGCCTCGCATTTTCGCAACAATATGAATAGCGTTTATGGTATTGACATTGTTACAGTCAATCATGCATAGTTTCGGTTTCATTCCAGTAATTTTGATATAAAAGATGCTTTACGGAGTGAAAGCGCAATTGTAGGAAATGTCGATCAAATCATGAACATTGTTCAAAAGCTAAAGTTTTCACGAAAAACCATTTAAAAACATTTGAATAAGTCTGAATGCGAAAAGACACTCTCTGTATGGGTGCCACACAAGTTAACGCTAAAAAATCTTATGGACAGAAGCACTTGGTGATTGGCGATGAAAAGTGTATAACTTACGGCAAAGTCAAGCGAAAGCGGTCGTGGTCGAAACGCTTTGAGTCGGCGGAAATGATATCTTCCTTTTTCTATTACTTTTACTACACCTAATATATCTTCTAATTAAAAATTTTTATTTTATTTTATTATTTTTTTTTAATTAGTTAATTTTTTTCACTATTTTTTTATTTTTATTTTATTTAATATTTTATGTAATGTTTATTTTGCTTTTTTTATTTAATTTTCTTAATTTATTAAAATTAGTTTATATTTAATGTTGTTTTATTTAATTCGTTTTGATTTATTTTATTTTGCTTGATTTCATTAGTTTCATTTTGTAGAATTTAATTTTTTGTCCTGTATAATTTTAAATACTTTGTTGTATTTGCTTTAATTTGTTTTGATTTAATTTTATGGTACTATATTTCAATTTTTACTCTTTTTTTTTATTTGATTAATTTAATTTTTTGAAAATAATTTTTTCCTTTACTTTTTTTATGCAGTATTTTAATTTTGTTTTTAATTTAATTTCTTTTTCCTTTTTTGTAATATTTATTTTAAGTTTTTTAATATTTATTTTATTTTTTCTTAACTTTTTTGAATTAGTTTTAGTTTAAATAAGTTTGTTTTTACCGTTTGATACTTTCTTTAATTATACATTGTTTTAATTTGGTTTATAATTAGGTTTTATTTATTTATTTTTTTTTACTTTCTGCTTTTGTATTTTTTATTTCTTAATATTTTTTTAGGGTTCTAGAAATTTGTTTATTCGTTAGTTTTAAAAAACTTAAATTAGTTTTAACTTAAACAGTTTTATATTTACTGTTTTATTTGACTTTTTATTTAATTTAATAGATTTTTTTTCATTTGACTCTTATCAATTTTTTTATGTACTTTATTTTAATTTAATTTCCTTTTTATTATTTTACTAGTATTTTGTTATATTATTTAAGCCTTTTAGAATTTTGGTATTTTATTTAATTTAATTTATTTAAGTTATTATTTTATTTAAATTTTTTGTTTCCTTTAATTTTATTGTATATTATTTTACTTCATTTAACTCTTTTGATTTTTTACAACTTTATTTTATTATTCTCTTTTAGAAATTTTTTATAATTCATTTTAAGTTTTTGTATAGTTAAATTTTTATATTATTTTTATATTTTACTTTAGTTTATTTTATTATATTTATTTAATATTTTTTACTATTTTATATGATTTGATTTTGTTTTATTGTAAAATGTTTTGTTTATTTTAACTGTTAAGTCACTTTTTTCATTTATTTCTCTTATTTATTTTTTTAAATTTGTTATTTTATTTTATTTATCTATATTTTTTGATCTATATGTTTAATTTTGTTTATTTAATTTTTTGCCTTTGTTAATTTTATTTATTAATTTTTAATTTTAATAACTTTTGTAATTAGATTTATTTTAGTTTTATTTCATTTTCTGTTTCGTTTAATAATTGTTTGTAATTGTTCTATTTGCTTTTTAGTTAAGTTTTATTTCTTTAATATTATTTTATTTTATTTTATTTTATTTTCTTTAATTTTATTTTATTTTATTTTATTTTATTTTATTTTATTTTATTTTATTTTATTTTATTTTATTTTATTTTATTTTATTTTATTTTATTTTATTTTATTATTATTATTATTATTTTATTTTATTTAAATTGAATTTAATTTATTTTATTTTTCTTTATTTTAATTTAATTTAATTTTTTTTATATCGATTTAAATTGTTTTATTTCATATAATGTAATATATTTTATTTTATTTTGTTTCATTATATTTTATTATATGCTATTTTACCTTTTTTATATTTTGGTATTTTATTTTATTTTATTTTATTTTATTGTATTTTATTTTATTTTACTTTATTTTATTTTATTTTAATTTATTTTATTTTTTTATGAATAATTTTTTACTTTATTTTATTTTTATTACAGTTATATTATTGTATTTCATATCAGTTTATTTCAATTTATTTTTTTATGCTAAAATATTATATTTTTATATGCGTGTTTGATTTTATTTTGTTGGTGTCATTTTATATTATTTAATTTAATATGTTGTATTTTTCGTTTTTTTATTATTTATTTTTTATATCGTTATTTATTTTGTTTGTGTTTTAAATTCTTATGCTTTTTTAAATAATGAGATACATTTGTTGTATTTTACCACTAACTTACGCAGAAGAATTAAGTTTCTGAAAATACAGTAATAATTTTGAAAATTGTTCCTACATACGTTGCGGACATAACTTTAAAAATTAGTTTGTTTTTAAAGTAACACTATTTTGAATATTTACTCAAGGCAGTTTTTTAGAGAATTATTTTCATATTAGTCTAAGTCTTAAGACTCTAAATTTGTTATTTATTTAAAATTAATCTGCTTCGTAGGCACACATATCAAGCATATAAAAACAAAACGAAAATTGATTGCGCGAAACTATTAAATAGAAAAAAAAATAAAAAGAAGATCTCCACTAAAACTAAAATCGTGTGGGTTTTGGTGACGCTTTAAACATTGCGATTTCCAGATACACACACATTTTTGTTTTGAAAATATTTTTAATGTTAACATTTTATTGATATTATTGTTTATTTAATTTTTAATTATATTTTTCTGTTTTTTAATGTTTTTTTTTGCTACTGCAAAATTTTTGAGATTTTTGTATGTTTATACACTTATTTCGTAATTTAGCTATTATATAACACTATACGTATCCCTTGTTTCATTTAACATTGTTTTCTTGTTTTTTTTTTTTGTATTCTTATTCTTCTTATTTCTTGTGTCGTCTTACGTTTCGTGAGTCGCTTAAGATTTACAGGAAATTAGATATTTTCGAAATAATTGCGATACAGTTCGAAGTTCGACGTATAATAATAGTGCGTAATGTTTTCTATGTTTGTTGTTGTTTTTTGTTGTTATTGGTGTATGTACTTGTTTATGACTTATATGCTAATATACATATAGTTATATATACCCTTGTATCGATTTATCGCTGCTTCTAAACGATTTTAGTTTATTTTTCGTCTTCTGTTTAGTTAACACATTTTTAACGGTGTTTTTTTTTGTTATTGCAGCTGTTATACTTATAGTGCTACTGCGTTCCTCTTCCGCTCTCTTTGTCTCCCTCTCGCCTCCCACTGCAGCTCAGCTAGACTTAAAGACTCGCTCATCGCGCTCTATTAAATTTGATTAAAGTTCATTGCTCTCAACAGCATTCCACTCGCTCATTACTCCTCTTCTCAAGTATTTCTGTTCCTTACTTGATACCCTTTCTAAACTAATTTCACATAACTGCTGTAGTTGTTGTTGAGACAATAGCGCAACTCGCCTTCGGTTTCCATGTCCACGCCCACACCTCGCTCGTACTCCGCACTTTGACTGCCACCCTTTGCACCGACATCCACTTGCCCACCCGGGAGTCATACGTAGACAACATGTGGCTTGACCGCTGTGCCGCCTGCACCAGCGCCACCCTTGCCCATCGGTACCACACCGTTGCTGGTGTTGGTGTTGCATGCATCGCTAGTGTTGCTATTGTGGTTCGACATTAGCGTTGCCTGTTTCGATTTGCTCAGCGTCTGCATGTCCGGATAGTCATAATGATCGAATTTCTCATACAAATGTTCCGGCTCGTCGCTGTAGGCATTCGCATCCTTCACTGGCGGTAGCTCCCACGGCTTCAAGGCACGATACTCATTGGCGATCGCCTGCGCCGCCAGATATCGTTCCAGCTCCAACTTGTCCACTTGCGCTGGTAGTGTTTGCTGATATTCGTGTGGGTGCAGCGGCAGCATGGCGTGATGTGTGCCACCGCCTTGTGGTTGCAATGTGTGATGTGGATAGGTGAGTCCGCCAACACCCATACCGAGCATGCCGCCGCCACCACCACCACCGCTCAGCGGCTGATGTTGTAATATGCGATCGTGCACGTTGACTATGGATTTGCCGGAACGCGTGAGTGAACGGTCATGTAAGAGCTTTCGGCGTCGTTTCACAAAACGTAAATAGAAGACGATGCTGGCGCCGATCGCAAGTACGAGTAAGAGTGTAAAAATTGCACAGACGATAGTGACAATATGCGCGGGGCAGGTGATTTCACTCTCAGACATTGTGATGAGTCGACGTCGGGTGCGCACATTGTCCTGCCATATATCACAGCCAATGCGTTCGGTGTCGAGTTGTAGATAGCCACTGGTGCCACCACTGCTGCTGCTGCTGCTAGTACCACCACCACCACTACCACGTGAAGTCGCATACTTGTGCTGTGCCACATAAGCTTCGGCTGCTGCGTCCGACACTGTGCCCGCATCGGCTGTACCCAGCGCAGCAACTGCAGCTTCGCCTTGTGTGTGTGTCACATGCACGCCGCCCGCGTTGTTGTTGGACTCGCCATCAAAATTGCCCGTCACCAAACGCCACAGCCAGAGCAGTGAACAATTGCATTGTAGCGGATTATCGCCTAGATAGAGACGTTCCAACTGATCGACGGGGAATTGCGCGGAGTAGAGGGTCTGTAGGCTGTTGCCTTGCATATAGATTTCGAGCACGTTCGGATTGCCTTGGAACAGGCGCATGGGGATGTCGTAGAGTTGGGGATTGTTGGCGAGATGCAGCGCTTGTAGGTGCGTGTTGTCGATGAAGGATCTGCAAAGGAAATAAATGGGAGAAAGTTAGAGATTCGTAGTGAAATTTGGAATGAGGAATTTTACTTTAAAAACTAAGTTAAAATTAGTTCCTAGGTTTTTGTATTATAATGTTCGGAAAAGAGAACATTACTCTTCAGACTTTTCTATCTCTATGGGTATTTGGTCATAATTGAGTAGGAAAGAGAATGATGGGCAAACTGGATTGCAACCGGCATGTTTTATCTGGGAGAGGTAGTCATTTAAAAGAGGGTGGATGGGATAAGAATGTGCGACCCACCAGCTCAACTCAGATCATCTACTCTGTAAGATATAAATATTAAGTCTTCCGAGTTTCCAAAAGACAACTGAACCAGCACACGTTAAACGAAAGACGACAACGCTTTTGTGGAGTAGGCAAAGTAAATAATAATTGGTTTTGCTGACCTGGCTCCGAGAGTACTACAGTTGTATGCTTAACCACCAGGAAAGATTACCTCTAGAGGTGCAAATGAAAAACATATATAAGAAAGCCGTTACGGAGAAGGCAGCATAACCTAAACAACCCTAATTTTAATTTAATTTATTACACTTTATTAAATTTTGGTTGTTCATACTTATTACATATTGTATTAAATAATTTAATATAATTTAATATTATATTATTGTATTATTTTAATTTATTTTATTTATTTTTTTACTTTAACTTAATTAATTTTATTTTTCTTAATTTTACTTTGTTTTATTTTATTTAATTTTATTTTTTTTTTATATTTTAATATATTTTATTTTATTTTATTTTTTTTTTATTTTAATTTATTTTATTTTATTTTATTTCATTTTATTTTATTTTATTTCATTTTATTATATTTTAATTTATTTTATTTTGTGTTAGCTGATTTAATTTTATTTTATTTTATTTTATTTATTTTATTTTATTTTATTTTATTTTATTTTATTTTATTTTATTTTATTTTATTTTAATTTATATTATTTCATTTAATTATATTTTTTCACTTAATTTTATTTCATTGTATTTTACTTTATTTTATTTTGCCTTGTTTCATTTCACTTTTGAAATTTATTTTATTTCATTTTATTTTACTTTAGTTTATTTGGTTATATTTTATTTTCATTTATCTTATTATATTAGTTTACTTTGCTCTTTTTTCTATTTTTATGCTATTTTATTTCGTTGTATATTTTTTTCCTATTGATAAATTTTATTCCATTTTATTTTATTTTAATTTATTTTGCTTTATTAAGTACTTCAGTGGGTTTTCGTATCTGGGGATTTGTGGTTGCACAATCACATACTTTTTTGTTGGCTATTTGTTGCACAGCTTTTCTCTGTCTGACACTTTGTATTGTAGGTTTCTTTTATTTATTACATAAAATATTAATATTATTTTTTGGAGTTTTTTCAACAAGTTCCGGGCTTATCCATTTACCCATGCCTTTTATAACTTTCTTTTATTTAATTTGCACTCTGTTTGCTTTGAATTATTTGCCACCAACCACTTTTCATAGCCGAGCCCTTCCTCAGCGCTTTTGTTGTTATTAATTTTTTAGATTTCACTATTTCCCTTTTTTGGTTGTTATTATTTAGTTTACGTAATTCAACGCTGCGCATTAAAATTGTACACTTTAATTAAGCAACAGGAAATTGCAACTTTGCTTGCAACAGAGTGAAAACCCCACTCTTGCCAGTAACCAACCACTGATCTCTTCTTGGTCAAAAGCTGCAACAACTTGCAACTTAATCGCAGCGAGTTAGCAAACATATTTAGTTTTTCTTCTGGTTGTTTGTATGTGTATAATTGCATACATATGTTGCTGTGGGAAGAAGCAGCAGGCCAACCGTGCACAGCTTTTTACTTTAAATTATGGTGAAGTAATTCATCAACCTAAAAGGCAATAGCAAGCAGAGAGGCCACAAGCAGTCAGCCAGTTGGATAGAAAGCGGTTAAATGAAAGCACAAAATGAAATACATATTTACATATGAATATATACTCGCATATATACTGGAAGCGAATGAAGTAGTTAAGTTTTGCAAGAATAATTACATACTTACAAACACAAAGATATAAAGTCTAAGTTGAATTGTGAGAACAGATATAAACTGAAATGCAGCCTGACAACGTCTTCTAAGACAGCTGTAGATGAATGAAGATTTATTTAAAGTCATCTATTTTAACTTAATAAAACCAAGTGAAATGATTTAAATCCATGGCTGTGAGCATGTGGCTGCTAAATGATGGCATATGCTCTGAGAGGAAGCGGATGCAAGGAATCTAGATTAGGGGTTTCCAAAAATTTTTAAATATCGTTTTAATTATAATAATAAATTTAATATTTTTTTTAAATTCTAATTTGAAATTTAATTTTAATTTTTTTCATTATAAATTTATATAAACCAACTAATTAAGTATTTTAATTTTTTATTTTAAATTTAATTTATTATATTAATTTTTTATGCTGAACACCTTAATTCACACGTACAAATATAGTTGTTTCCTTCCAGACGCACGACTTTTGCCTAAAGGAATAAAAGTTGTTATATAATATTTAAAATATATAAATAAAAAAATTTCCATTAAACAAATATTTACGCCACAAAGACATTACTTGTGAGACGGAGAGTACTTTTAACCAAATGAAAAGGTGCAACGTGGCGTATGAGTGACAAAGTTGGCATTCAGCGGCTTTTAAATGCGAGTAAGAGTTGCATTGCTGAATGTGTACGCGTCGTATGTGTTATACTTGGATTTATTTTGCAGTTATAGCAAGTAGACTGCATTAGCAGAGATTTCGCTGCACGCATAAAGCAAAGGACCGACTCTTAGTAGGTACATACAGTCTTGGCCAAGAGTATTAGGCACCCTACTTATTACAGATTTTTTTTGTTTTAACCAATGATATAATGAAGTTTTATTAGTAAAACAGTGGAAATACAATGAATAAGTGATAATAACATTAATGTTTAGTAGGTCCACCCTTCGATTTAATAACGGCAGCAATTCTCTTAGGCGCGCTGCGTACAAGCTTTGCACATTCGTACGCACATATAACGTACCACTCGTTAATTAAGGCAATCTTTAAGACACCATCAGCAGCTATGCAGCATCAGGTCATATTGCTGCCTTCTCCATGCTTAACAGTGGGTACCACGCAATCTGAACGATATTCTTAACCAACCCGAAATGGACGCTGCAAGGGAAGAAGAAGACTTTTAGCGATCCTTGAGAGACTCGCATATAAGTATCCGGTCTTCTCGTTTACTGGTTAAACGCTTTCTTCCAATTTTCGATTTATTATTGTGGGATTTCGTTTTTACAAATCGCCTGATAGCACATTGGACCGCACACAGCGAACATCCCAATAAATTGGCAATCTCAACCTGACTTACCTTTTTTTCTTAGAACTTGAACTCTAACTCCATCATCGTAACTAATTTCACTTTTTTAGGTATTTCGGTAAATATGAACAGGTTTTATAAGATTGGTAACTTTTCACTAAAAGTACTTTGACAGCCACATTTGAGAATACTTGTGTTTTAGTAGGGTGCCTAATACTTTTGGCCAAGGCTGTATGTGTATTGGTATCTTAAAAGTGTGTACAGTGTGTGTTTTTGATAATTTGTAGGTAAAAAATAAATCTGAAGACCGTAAAATTTCTTTTTCTATATGAAGGAAAAATAAGACGAAATATGTAATGTCTTCTAAGGGGGAAATCGACACCTTGTTAAAATTATAATAGCTGGATGAAGAACTATGTTTATTTAAATAAAACATATAGTTTTAGTCAAAGCTCAGTTCGGCGCGTGCCCACTGTTCACCTGTATGCATGTGACATGTCTTCAAGTGCTTCCAGCTACATCTCTAGCTGCTATTGCTGCAAGACAAAACTGCTACATTATTTTACGTCGTTGAGGAGCTAACAGGAACACATACAAATGCAGAGATAGGTTGCAAACATATTTACACATATCCTGCACAAATCTTTGCAGCAGTGATCCGAAATAAGATGACGAGGAAAAGGAGGTGCAGTTGTCAAGGACACAGCATTAAACCAAAAAAGGAAATCTATATATATATATTTGTATACTAGCGAGAAATCAGAGCTAAACCTAGACTAAACTAAAATATAACAAAAAGTTAAAATAAAATGAAATATATTAAAAAATTATAAGAAAATGTAATAAACAGAAAATTATATGTATATATGAAATCAAATAAAACTAAACAAAATAAACAAAAAGGAGAAAATAAAATTAAATTAATAAAGTAACATCAAAAGAACAATAAAATAAAATATATATTAATGAAATAAAAAAAAAATATACAAAATAAAATAAAAACTGAAATAAGGTAAAATAAAATGAAGTGACATAAAACAAATAAAATGAAACGAAAATAAATTAAGTTAAGAAAACTAATATAAAGTAATAAAAATAAAATTAAATAATGTTATATCAAACAGAATAAACAACGAAGCAAAACTTAAAAATCACATTGAATACAATAAAATAAAATAAAATAAAATAAAATAAAACGATGTGAAATAAAATAAAAAATAAAAGGGATAAATGAAATGAAAAACCAAATAGAATAAAACAGAATAAAAGAAAACCAAATAAAATAATATATATAAAATAAAGTAAAATAAGATCAAATAGAATAAAATCAAATTAAATTAAATAGATTAAAATCAAATAAATAAAAATAAAATAAAATAAAATAAAATAAAATAAAATAAAATAAAATAAAATAAAATAAAATAAAATAAAATAAAATAAAATAAAATAAAATAAATTAAAATAAAATAAAATAAAATAATATAAAATAAAGCAAAATCAAATAACATAAAGTAAAAGGAAAAAATATAAAAAAGTGATACAAAGTAAAGTTATTAAAGTAAAATCAAATAAACACAAAAAAAAAACACCATAAAGTAAGCCAATACAAGCTAAAACGAAATTAAATAAAATCATATAAATTAACATTAAATAAGATAAAATA